TGGCATTGGAGGGCCATTTAGCGGAAATGGACCATAGATCTGTGGTTACTGCATATGCCCCTACATCATGCAAAAAACCGTTTCTCAGAAAGCGCTCCACGCCCTGCGACCTTCCCTTGTTAGTTTCCACTATGACCAAACTATGAATGGACCGCAAGGCAGCATACATAGTTCCCGTGCTGTCGTATATGTGCTAAGTAGTGCAACGATTTAGCGGTCAGAGTAGCGATGTAATAAAAATCAGTAGTTCATGGCCTCAATCAAACCTAACAACAATTTACTTCGTTATATTGAGTGAGACTGGCTATGCGCACAGTGCTGGGCCCACATTCCACTATCACCCGCAGCAGAAAGCCTTTTGTGAGAAGCCCTCGTTGTTCCTACCGCGGGTATTTTTTCATGAAATTAGTATCCAACTTACTTTGTGTAGGGCAATTTTGGTCGCTCTGATGACGTCGGCTTCCCTTCTCGACCAATTACGGATAAGATCTCAGCACGTATTTTGTCCTATAAGAACGGCTATTAAGTTCTCCTAGACAGCAAAACGACTATCTCTTATCTTTTCTCTGTTGTGGAAATTGGGAAATCAGAATGAATTTATAGTCTACCTGCACATCAGGATTGGCTGCCAGAAACAAAGTGCTCCATCTTAGAGTTGTTGAAGTTGTTTCCATGCCAGCCAAAAAGAAGTCCATGCAGACATTCAGAAGATTTTCCTGGCTGAGAAAAGTATTCTAGAAGGTGCATCTCAGTGGCGCTCGTTTTATAGATCCTCGGAGAGATATCGTGGTCGGGAAAGGATTAAACCACTTCTCTTCATTGAGAAATGCTTGTCCACTGTCGACTCATTGGTTGTCTCCCACTCACTCCTAGCAATATCATAGGCTCCTCTGCTGGCCGTGGGTTTCGTACTCTCACAGTTTTCGAGGCTTTTTCTTCGCGTGCATCTCGACCGCCCATCAGCGAGTTCTCCCTATGAACTACTGGTGGAAATAAAGATCTACAAAAAGGCAAACTTGTGCGGGTGCCTTCACATCACCTGAACAGTAGAAAGCAATTCCTTTCTGTCGCTCACAAGCGTTCATGTTCGATTCGAGGGAAATGGTGAACTCAAGATTAGCTTAGCCCATGATGCAGCAATTTTATGTTTTTAGTGACGGCATACCGCTCTCGCAGCGATTCTCCTGTCTAAAGGGTTCACAGAAAACACTGGGCGTTCCTCCTTCACCGTTCATGACAATTTCCCATGGACGATTTGGGCTAATGTTTTCTCGTTCTTATTTTCCCAGCAGCATTGCGCGGGAGCGAGCCATTCGATAAACAAAATCAATGATGTTTAGTTCACACAGAAATTTATTACAACTGAATGCTATTCACTTACTTCAGATGAGAACTGCTTTGCATCCTTTGATAATAGGCCTGCACGAAGCATTCAGGTTCTTGGTCTACAGAATACGATTTGAGAGCACGCGCTATATCCTCTCTGATAGTTCGACGCGGCTGAAAGAAGGAAACTATCAGGTCGTGGAGAAAATTTTGTCGGTTTCTACCCTGAATTCCAATCATCACAAGTACTACATTTTCGACCCAAGTGAAAACCGTACAATCTACGAATCTCTGCTATTCAGGAATTCGTTCAAGCACTCCGGTTGTTCTGAAGCTCTGGAGGTGATGAACTCTGTGAAAACTGTTTCAGCGTCATGTTAGAATTCGAAGCACTTCGTTCTAGGGAGCTATCCAGGTCTTCAAAAAAAGTCGTTAGGCAACGGGTTTTCTAACGTAGTGATAGCATTAACCCGTTGCTTAACTGATTCAATGTGTGCACGGTTGGTTGCGCGATTTACGCGCGAGACACGTGTTGGACGTGAGTTGGACCCTTCATGATGAGGAATGCTGAGCAAATGTGGTGGAGTTCTAGATGTCTTTGAACATATTGAAGGGCAATTCCCCATTGCAACACTTCCATCTGGCGTTGGAGAGCTAGGCTAACCGCTGACTTCATGAAAGTCACTATAATCTTCAGTGTATTTCCAGTCTTGCGAGGTTGTCGGACTGTGAATTGTGTACTCTACTGCCCGCTAGGGTGAATAACGGTCGAGGAATTTCCTCGACCATGGCTCTCTACTGTGCGAGAGTAGTGCCGAGAGTGAACGTCGCGCGGAGAGCACAGACGGCTCGCGCATGGCGAGTGTGAATGTCCGCGCGGGAGACGTAACTGATCAGGCGAAAATCCTCGACGTGCCGTTGAGGAATCCTCGACCGATATTCACCCTGCTGTCTGTTCCTCTTTTCTACAACCTATTCGAATCGACGCGGGGTAAGCGGGAAAACTAGCACAGTGATCTTTTTGAGTCTTTGGTGTCACGCCACACGGCTGAATCGATATGGAAGTCTTACCAATTCTAGAAATTCTTCGAAACGTCCTTTGGCGAGGTATCCAATCACCGGTAACTCATAAATGAATGGAAACAACTGGCCAAACAATGCCAACTTGTTGTCTCTGAAATGTACATATTATAAAATGAAAATTCTCCCATTCTTACAAAGCATTCGATATAGGTAGCCTTAAGGCTTCAGCTCAACATTATAAAGAGATGTCAGCTCTTCTGATTCACAAATCAAAAATAGCAAATGGGAGATATTGTATGGCAGGTGCTTACTTCGATGCATCAAATAGTGTGTTGAATGCTTGAACGACTTTCATTAACCGATCGCAATTGTCGTATTCGTAACTGAAGCCGTACAACGTTTTGTTGATGATATTCGCGATGAAAACCTAAGGAAACACTTCTTGTTTATATAATTTTTATTCTATTAGGATGTTCGAAAAGTTTCTGAGAGAATTTCGCCTCTAATTTCCGGGAGCATAATGCGCGCAAATGCGCCAAAAGCAAAACTATAATGCAAACGGCAAGTAACGAGGAGCGTAGTGAGTCTTTAGCTCACTACTAGCTAACTGGAGGAATTTAGTTTATTGGGGTGCCGGTAGCCTCTGTACTCTTCATGTTATAGTTGGCAGACGCTCGCTTCATCGGCAAGGATGAAGTTATGCTTGTCTCAATGATGGCAAGTGGCGTAATAGCCAAGAAGCAGTTACAAGCTGGTGGAGGTGTTGATCAGCGTCCTATAGGATGTATTGGGCCCTTGACTAGTTCCTGGTTGGGAGCAAATTCCCCAGTACCGAAACGCTTGTTTGGCTTTCCCTCTAAGCAGGGGTATTTCTCGAAGATATAGGAAAATTAGTAAAGGCCAACTTTATTCTCTCCACCATGAAAGATTGAATTATATTTTTTTGTTGCAGTTCTTCGTGGCGCCTCCTGGAGCAATCCCACGAGCCCTAACTGATAGAAGTTTCTCGAGCGTAAGCGAACGGCGACATGCGCAGTCTTCATTTCTATAAGAAGACTGATTTACGTTCCACGAGAGAAAAAGATACCGCTTTGTCACTCGTTCATCGACTTGAAGAGGCTTTCGACTCTATGGAGGCAGACGCCTCCATAGAGTCAAAAGCCTTCCATCGAAGACGCCTTCCATGTCTCGATTGGAACCATATCCGGACCAATCACCTTCCTAATCGCCATCTTCCTTATTTCTCAACCTAACTCATAATTTGTCTTGCCCTAAAAAGGACCAGCCTACCTAGCTACCTCTGCTCGCAAGTTCTATTTATAGGGAACCTCTTGTTTAAAAGTTCACTAGTACTTTCCCATCCGCCATGACTCTCCAGGACTGCCTTCCTCAGAATGGTTCCGTTGCTGTTCTTTACACTCTTCATCACCCTGATAAATACATAGACTAGCTCGTACCAAGCTTTAGCCTATTTGTAGACGAATTCACGCATTTCGAACCTCTGGCTTCTCGAACAACGGCTGCCTTAGCAAGCCTTTTTGCAACTATTGTAAGCAGCGATGTCCTCAGGGCTCCATAACTTCTGCCAACGCTTGTATGCTTCCTTCTTCTGCTTCACGACCCGCTGGACTTCCTCGTTCCAGACTTCCTTCCAGGAGACGGTGTGCTATGCTGTCAATTTCTACGTCCGGGACTATCTTGAGGGTTTTTCCCAGTTTTCCCATTTATAAGGGACGGTCTTCCTACGCACACGGTCGATTTCCTTTTTCCCTCCACTACTGTAATGGTTCTCTGGTCTGCTCTTCGTGATGCAGAACGAGCTGCAGCCTGCAATATCATGGGCAATAACCTACTGAGAGCCCCCTTCCCTCGGCGTGCTTCACTCTGGCTACCTCCGCCTTTCCAGGACTCTTCTATTACTGCCGACGTGGCCATTCAAATTGGAATCGTATGCTCGCTTTCGCTCATTTTAGTTTGAAACATTTTTATAGAATAATGCGTACAATTATCATCATGTTATATTTTTAACATATTGTTATTTTTATTTGATATTCTGGAAACCTGAAACAGCATATTTTTCACGAAAGAAACATTCGACGCACCTGAATTGGCCATCTTAGATTAACCTCGTCTTGTTGGATGGATAGACATAATGTGTAAGAGGAACATCCTGTGCTGAAAGCAGCACCTAGAATAGGACTTTTTCAGAAGTGCCACTTGAAAAACTGTTTGTGAGCAGAAAACACACAGACAATACACAGAGCGTGGAGCAAAAGTACAGCTCAGACCTCACTTTTTCAATAAATTTTGATAATGGCCAAGAATGGCATAATTTTTCAATTATGCCATTCTGTTAAGCCATTACTCGCTTATAAGTTAGTTTTCGATTGAAATTTATTGCACAAGGTAAGAATAAAAACCTCTACGCTTAAGTCGGTGTATTACAGGAACTAATTTCAGCTAATACCTTTCTTCCATTAAGTTTTCCCATCATTCCGAAGTCCTCTGAGATAGGAAAAGAACGCTCGGTTGTTCCTTCCAGTTTTCTCCCTAAAATAGTACCAAAAAAGCTCTTCAAATCATATCTCCTAGACTTGCTCTACTTTTAACATTCCACAAACTCTGAACAAAAGTAGAATATTTAAAAAAAAGATACCTGGGAAAAAATCACACCACCATTTTCAACGTTCTGAGAAGGGTGTCAGGGAATATCCCACTTCGACCTGCGAAATCGTCACCTGAAAATTTTTATTGGTAATGCCTTGTTAGTTAGTTACTAGTTACTGCTTAGCCTTAGTCAATCGAAATTGCACGGCAGCCATGAAGTGGGGCTATGAGTCCAGCCTCGAAATTTGGTACTGAATAATTTCGAGATATAGTACATTTCAACTCTCGCTTTTGGTTCGTTGTTGGGCATGGTATGATTTCGGCAAATCTGCACGGTAGTGGGACCACATCACGAAGATCAAGACCATAGCATAGACTACCCAAAAGCATTGTTCACTCTGCAGGAAAACATATAGGTAAAGAATAGGGGGTGTTTAGCGCTAAGCTACAACGTAAGTCTGGTGATCAACATTCGCCATACACTGCATCTACATTAAGTATTCTAATTACTCGCTCCTTCATTGTTTATCAATTCCTTTTACAATTCGAACTTGGACCATGGCCCAAGCCACAAGCAGTGGAAGAATATGACAATAGCATAGTTACTGAGAGAAATTCGTAATATCCTTCGCAGTACACGGGCAACTTTTTTTAAATCAAGCAGGGTTGCATGATGTAAGGTTTGAGCTCTAGTCCCTAGGCGGATCGTGGACCTTTATTAAAGGAATCCTTGCGCGGAAAATTCTTGCACTCTTTCCTAACATGAATATGTCAGTTGTGATCACTGGAAACAGCACACAAAGTTTCACGCATGAAGATTCGGTTTCCGAAGAGAAACAAACGTACAAAAACTACACTCTATGGACAATCGAAGGTAATTCGGGCGGAGCCAAAGGCGAGGCATGGAAAGAAGTTGGCTTTGGCCGGCTACGTATCAGGCGACGCAATGAAAGAATCGGGTTAAAGCGCGCGATTTCGGAGAGTAGAGACAAATCGATCGATAGAATAGGATGGAGTAGAAGTGTAAGATGTGAATGCAACGAAGCAGAAGGCCAGAAAGAAGCATCCCCGTCGCCAGCATTTGTGAAAGACGTCCGTGGGCAATTTGAACGCGTAGCAGCCCTTTCGATTTTTCGAATTTTTAATCAAAACGAAAGCAATACTTCTGTTCTTTTCATTCTTATCGTGGATAATGAGTCTCAAGCCAGTGATTTATGGCTGAAATAGAATCATGATTTTTCCGCGCAAGGATTCCTTTGAAAACCTTCTCGGCAAGGGTTTTGCATGGTCTGAGCTAATGTCACCAGGGAACTGTGCATCAGTGGACCAACTGAGGACATGAAGTAACAGCTTCAGATTGAGCAGTTACGGGCTTTTTGAACGCGATGGTGCTAGGAGAATTTCATGCTCTTAAGAAGTGAGCAGAAAGCAAGGGTTTGCTTATGTTCATGGAGAGCGCATTTCAGGAATATCTGCTGTGAGACCTCTGTCAAAGGAGAACGCGTGCGAAGCAAAGGCTGCACGTTTACCACCAGCTCGGAGCCCTTCTTCACCTACATATATATTTTTCTTCCTTCGCATTCCCTTCTTCAGTAACTTTCCACCCGATTTTCGAAGTCGTAGTAAGCACAACAATGTTCAGTATAAACTTAGGTTGAATACCTCCGGCCAAAAGCAGAGAAGAATCTCACCTTTTTTCGCAAAACGCTTCTTTGACAAGTTCGTAGTCAGTGATAACCACATATGGTCTTGGTAACCAAACAGTGAATATACTGCCATATATTTTGGAATATTTCTCATAGTCCTCGTGTATTTTGCGAATATTTAGCTAAATCAGAATATAAGTCTTGAACTCCGACAGCATTTTGAAAGGTGTTTTCACCAATACAAAACGTCCTTGAAGTACCTGAGCGACAGATAAAGGGTTCGCTCAAAGTGTTTGCACACTTCTAATGCGTGCTATCTTCCCCTAGCCGAAGTGTTGCTGGCAATGGCAGTGTTGAAAATTAGCCAAATGCTGTGATCACGATGTATGGAGGGCGGGGCGGTTTTGATAACGTCATTGATAGTCACTGAGACAAACCCCTCAATGAGCTAGGGGTAAGGTTGAAACCGCTCATACTGCCCTTTCACCAATTAGTTCAATGAAGCCATCAGAGCTGCACCATACCCAGCTATCGTAGACATTTCTTTTAACGCCCAATTGCATTGCTGCAGGTACTGTAAAAAATTAATGGGTAGGTGGTATTCAATGCTACTTATGATTGACCTTGTGATGCAACCTATGTTAGTTTTGCTTTCAACTAATCTGAAGAATTCCCGAAGTGTTATCGGGATATCAAAATATCTTAACAAGAATGCTACGACAATTCAGATATAAATATTGCGGCAACAAAAACAGGATATAAAATGACACTCCAACTTGAACTTTTAAAGACGTACCGAAAGCAGATTTCCCACGATAGGGTAGGGCCGCGGTCCTTTTGGATAGCGTTTCGTGTTCTCGTAGAATCGCCAAACATAGATCGCTATAGCTGTCAACAGGGAGACGAATAACAACAGAAAAAACATTTGCTGATTGATCTAATGGGAATCGTGTCTTTATATGCGGGTCACCGCCTGATGTAGTTTGTGCGCCACACTGAGTCCTGTGATAACGCTACACACTTGCGCAAAACAAGAACATTGACAGAAACCTCCCACTACTAAGTTTTCTTTAAAAAAGTGGTAACACAGAAAAACTAGTAGTAGTTGCACTGAATGCAATTACTAGACTATGTAGGCCACCTAGGCGAAGGTGGTGTTGTGGTAAGTGGCGCTGATTATTAACTGCACAGGATGAGATATGGAATTCCTAGGGCCAGCCAGGCCTTCCATCTCGGTTAGCTGATCCAACTGTCACTGAGAGGATTTAAATACTAATTCCAAAGTGCTACAGCGGTCACAAATGAAAGTCGAGTGCAGGGCGCATCCCGTGCAACGTCAAGTGTTTTATACTTGAACCCTAATAGATAGAGCTTCAAATGTGAAGTGCTATTTTGCTGGGATGCTGCTGTTTAGCGGCTTTCGAATACAGTGCGCTCAAAAGTATGGTTATTAAACGTTGTTTATTTAGGTTCTAAATTATTGGTTACCTTCTAACGTGATTTTTGAGTGTCCACGCTACTCTCTTTCATTTTTACTACACTTCTACTGCCAAACCTTTTCTAGGGGGGTAGTCCGCTGAACGCTGAACGGCAAATTTCTTCCGCGCACCCTCTCACTTCATTGCGTGGCTAATTCATGCTACCGACCACAAAGTACGACCCTCATCACTCGACAACCAAATCAAACCTCCAACAACCCTACGAACCCGCCGTTGGTACTTGACCAACTAGGATTGACCACTGCTGCAATGATGTAAGGTGCGAATAGTGAGGCGCTGTAAAAATGCAGACATGGGTCAGAACACCCAAAATATGACCCCGTTGTATGCCCGTTCATCAACGACAATGGACAACCCAGCAATCAAGGACGGGTCGTTTGCGTATGCTAACCCGACAGCCACTATCACGTCAACGAAGACAATGTTTTGATTAATAACGCATTACACAGATTAGTAAAAGGATACGGGCGCTCGAAGTGAAGTGCCCCTCCTTTGAAATGAAAACGAACAATGCTGTGACAGGCAACTGGTGGGCGGAGCTAGATGAAGGCGGAGCACAGAGAGGGTTTGATACGCTGCCACTAGCTCACCTTAGGCCACGAAAAGGTCACCAATCGTCCCTGGCCTTTAATACTAGTACTAGTGCATCCACTTTCATTCTGCATTTTTTATCGTAATCCCTCGCTTCCTGCCGAAATTGTCGTTGTTCCTCATTTATTTTCCGCTTTGGTTTTTTGTTTATTTTGGTTGCTCATTGTCAGTCAAAAAATGCATAGATTCAAGAATCCTCTTGCGGTGGCACTGGGGTACCTTCTTCATTGGCAAAGTAGAGGAATAATCAAATAAACACATAGATAAACAAATAAATAAGAGGGTAGATGGGTTTGATCAATTCGGATTCTACATATTAGCAAGTCTCGAACAAACTGAAGAAGCTTTTTTTGTATTCAGAGAGCTGCAAAAGTCCGCCCGTGTTCATTTCAGCTCTTCCACTCTTCCAGGCATTTCCTTGACACCGGCTATCCGACCTTTCGCATTAGTCAGGAAGAGCTCGATTTATCGGAACAGATAAGCCAGCTCTAGTAGATACGCGACGCCTCGTGCCACTTCCGCCCATGCAGTTATCAAATGAGCGTAATCTGTCGACGGGGAACTTTGTCCTTTCAGATTTTTCCCACCTTCCCTAGACTGTTTTTAGAAGTTTTTTTAGTGTATGAATTTGGACTGCCGTCGGTAACATGCCTCTTCCCTTTTCACCATTTAGGGTTTCTTCTCTGTGCAATTTGAGTGTGTTCTCTCCCCTCCCCCCCCCACGCATCTCTTGTGTGCTCTTCCCTGGTCTTCATTTACACAAAACTATTGTGATCCATTTCAGAATCGTGCTGCCTAATTCGCATCAAAAGAAAAGCTCGATCAACATGAGGAAGAAGGAGAACCATTAATACAGCTGAAATCAGCCACACATTTAGCAATATACCCCTGTTTCAGAAAATCAGAAGCGCGTCAGACCGCACACCACAAGTGACGACGGCCTCCACAAAATGTAAATGTTTTCTGCCAATGAAATGATTAGCCTGTTGCAGTTGTATTCTATCAGTTGTCACTAATTACTTACTTACCTCCCCTTCAAAAAGCCAGAAAGTGTCGGGTGCAGACCATACACCACAAGTGACGACGGCCTCCAGAAAATGCAAATGTTTTTTGCCAATGAAATG